CATGCACTTGAAATCAGTTGTTGAAACCATTCTGGTGATAATGGAACAATGTTTTTCCTTCAGCTTCAGTACAGTGTCTTCTGTGTCACTAAGCTCTCTACTGAACTGCAGAGCTGTTTGGGGTCACTGACCACAGTCCACTGAATTCTTAGATACAACTGCCAAGTTTTTTATTGGTAACCACAGCAGAGATAGCAAATTGAGTAGAAAAAGCTATCCATAGCTTTACATCACTTGACAAATACGTAGGAAGCACTAGGACCATTTTTTAATCAGAAGTTAAGCAAGTTTACAGTAAAAAAGCAGTTCAGAATTCTGAATGTGGGGTGAGATGTGCAATCCTCAAGTGTAATATTGTTGCAATGTTTGGAACAGCAGTATAATATTTTACCTTTATAAAATATGCAACAGTAATCACTGTTGTGAATCACTTGTGAATTGCCCAAGCAGGGGGAGCAGAAAATCTGAAAAGAACATCACTAACTCCTGTGTGGCACACTGATTACAAATTTCTGGGAAATTGAACATAATAACATAAAAAATAAAGAAATGCAGAAGGGCCTCTGTTAACGTCTTTCTGTTTAACGTTCTTGTTTTCCAAGAATAAAAGCATGTTATTCAGCATATTATTTCATCCTCCTTATATTCTTAAACTCTGTGTTTTTTTGTTTCTGCCAGGGGCAAGACGGGTCCCTTGTAATGTACGTGTAGTAATGTAAATAAGGTTAGTCATTGGTAGGGGTAGAGTTCAGCTTGTGGGAAGAAACTGTCTCCGAATCTGGAGGTTCGTGCCTTTATGCTCCTATAACGCTTACCAGAGAGAAGGGAAGGAAAGTGAGAAACCAGGATGATTGTTGTTCTTAGCAATACTTCCAGCCTTCCTGAGACAGCGAGTTGTAAAAATGTCCACAATAGAGGGGAGCTGTACAGTAATGGATTGGGCTGACCTGATTACCCCCTGTAATGCCTTTTGGTCAGACACAAGCTGCTGCCAAACCACAATGTAATGCCACACATGAGCACATTCTCAATAGTGCACCTGTAAAAGGTACTAAGGACAGTTGAAGATAGACCAATTTTTTAAACTGTCTGAGGAAGTAAAGGCACTGTTGTAAAAATGCCTTAGCATCCTCTCTTTGGAAATAATATAATTCAGTGGTTCCTTTAGTTAAATAATTGCTTCAGTTCATGTTTTGGGTCAAGTCACTAGCCAGCGGTGACTAGTGCTCCCCAACTGGCCATGTACAACTGACTCATGGTCACAGGAGGTAGTTGTGTGGATTAACCTTCTTCTTCCCAAGTGTCTGCTTGTGATGTCAGAAAATGAATAACTCAAAGGATGGGCAACATCATTTTTCCCCATCCCGTGTCCCTCAAGAGACCCTCCCCAGTGAAGCTGGGACAGTAATGTTGTTTTGTAATGTATCTGTTCATTACCGTCATCAAAAAGTATACTGAAAATATTTAGGCAAAGAATAATCATGCAATTAGATAATAAAGGGAAAGTATTAGAATAACTGACGATGTAGGGGACTATAAAGTGGGTGTTTACATTGAGTAGTTAGTGGCATCTGCATGGATAGGCTGCAAAGGAACAAGTAAAGGTTTATTCCCTGCTGAAAAGAGAAGAACAGAAACTCAGTGTTTTGGCTGTGGAGGCTGTTGATCCAGGAGTCAAGTTCTTGGTTTAATGTCCAAGAATAAGCTGTCCCCAGTCACCATATTGGGGCATGGGTTTGGAAATCGTGGTCTACTCGGACAAGTGCCACCTACTCATCCAGCAATTTGTTTTCCCTTTGTGCTCTGTTGTCGCAGTACAGACCAGGCCCAGCCTTGGTTAACTTCCTTTATTTGACAAGATCATGACAGAAGGTGGTGACGCTGTCAAATAATAAGAGTCGCTAAATGGATTTTGGTTTTGATTTTGAAATGATTTTTTGAGCACTTGTCCTCTTCCTATGAAGTAACTGTACAGTAACCATCACCCTAATCTGTACAAGATGCTACTATGCAGATGTTTACTTTTTTGAGGTACATTCTATTATTTTTTGTATTTTGTTGTGGAAATTATCTTGACTCATTTCTTTTGTTTGTGTGGGCAAATGATGACAATGAATGAATCCAGTACACTCATTCCTCATTTTATGAATAATCCTCTTGGTAGTATAAGTATTGAATACATGGAGGAATGCAGTGTGCATGAGAAACTGGATCCAAAGCAGCATCTTTTGGTATAAAAGCTCTCCCAATCAATTCACGTGATTTGTTGTGCCCGTGCAATCTCCTTTCTTGCTCCAGCATGTGATATTAAAATAACTGCACTACCATGATCAGCAGGGGCCCAGAACTGTAAAAGTTTCTTTAGGTTGTGTAACAAAAGCAAAGAAAGCCAGGAAAACAATAGTGCTGTCGACCAAATTGGAAGTGATTCAAAGAACTAAAGACAGCCAGTGACCTCACATCACTTATCGATGACAGCTTGTTGTTGGAACTTCAGATTCTTCATTCTTTATTAAAACATTGATCTTAACATTCAATTAAATAAAATTCTATTTATTTCTTATAATTTATTCTTTATGCTTTATTCCTTACAGTAGCTAATGTACTGTGCAATGTAAAAACTTTATTTGAAAATCCAAGTACTCTCCACTATGTTAACTTGGGTTACATAGGTGATAAACATCATAAGTACTTTCCCTTATTTCTTCTTTAACATACTATACTATTCTAAAATAAGTAGAATATTAAAAATATTTGTATCATGCTTTGTGTCATAATCCTGCTGAAAGCTGAATTTTTGTCTAAAGTTTTAGGTCTGAAGCAGGTTTTCTTTTAAGACGTGCCATTACTTTACTTCATCTATTCCCAGTAGTTTTAATATGCTTCCCAGTTCTTGTTAGTAAGAATAACTAGAATATAATGCTGCCATGACCATGCTTGACATTTCACATGAAGCTGACTGGGTGATCCACTGTTGGGTTTGTCTAAGATCTAATGATTTGCATTTAGACCAAAAAATTCCAATTTGTGCCTTATCTGACCACAAAACCTTTTGCCATATGTTTGCAATATCACTTAGGCGCTTTGTTGCAAACCGCAAGTGGGATTTGAGACATTTTTCGGTTTCATATAAGCGCTCCTTATGGAGTGACTGAGCTATTGTTGACCCATGGACATTTTTGACAACTCAGCCAGAAGTCCATAACTCTTTTGAAGTCACTGTTGGCCTTACAGTGGCACTCCTAACGAGTTCCCTCCTTGTCTGGCTGCTCAGTTTGGAGGGACAGTCTGATCTAAGCTGAGTCTCGGTGCCTTCCACCTCTAAGTGGTCAACCTCACCATGCACAATGAGATTGTAAAAGTCTTTGAAATGTTTTATACCCATCTCCTGATCTGTGCTTTTATACAACTTTGTCACTGAGTTGTTTTGGAGTTCCGAGTGGTCCATTAAGGTAATTTTGTGCTCCAAATCTTTTGGGTTTGACTCACCTGAGGTACTGAATACTTACTATATGACATTTACATTTTTCTTTCATATGATCTATTTTCTTCTTTCTTTTTGTTTTTTGCAAGGCACTCTATATCCTTTGCATTCCCCATCAAATCATCTGCAGGACCACCCAAATTTTACATCTCCTGAATCCACTGTTGTCAACATACTGTATTTTCAAAATGTACAGTTTCAAGTCAAAGATGGTGACTTTTTGGCTGAAACAGTGACATAAGTCTTGATGGCCAATAGAGCAGAGTGAAGTTTTCTAGCGCTTCTTCACTGCAGCTACTAAACTAATCCAAATCATCTTGGCAAGATATGGACATTTTCTCCATAAAGATTTGAAAATGCCAAATAGAGAAAAAAATGGACTGAGAAATTATTTAGTGAGTGTTCCAGCAGTTCAGTACTTCACATATATGGTCAGAAAAATCTAAAAACATCTGAGGAAAAAGCAAAAGCAAAAAATGTTATTTAAACCAAAAAAAAGCATTGATTTTGTTCAGTCCTTATATTAAAATGATCCTCCAGTACATCTGGAAAATATCATCTGTCAGGTTATTTTATACTATATTAATCAATTTAATGTCAAGTGATGTGTTTCATTCTTTTGTCTTGGATTACAAGTATTTATAATCAGTGTACACCAGGAAACTAAAATGGAACCCAGATCGGAGGGCAGGGCTGGCTGTACAAAATGAAGGAAACACCATTTTCTTCTTGGCACAGATACAGAAAAGGGATTAAAAACATAAAAGACGCATAAAGTCAAAGACTCACTTCAGTAAGATGGAGAGTCAGACAAATAATTAAACCAACATGTCTATATAAAGCCAGAGGAAAGTCGTTTAAGAAGTAGCTGTCCATTTCACTGTTCATATTCAAGTATGTTGTTTTTTTCACTTTTTTCATTACACAGTATTTACTGCTTTCACTTTCAGAAAATCAGAACATGCACTCAGCCTGCAAGGAGTAGGCACATCAATCATCACGCCTTGCTGATCATCAGACATGTCACATACACACACATACGGTATATATTGTTTTATTAACTGCCAGTATATGGACTTCTTTGTGTAGTAGGAGTTTTCCTGTGTAAAAGAAGAAATGAATTTGGAAAAGTACTGCAGATCCTAATCAACAGAGAAACAGTGTGGGCTAGATAATGTGATAAACCAAATATATTACTTAGTGGTGGCTGCCCAGCTAAAACTCCCACAGGGTTTCTTTTTTAAATTAAGCATGATCTTTTTTTACCTTAATTTAAAGTCAGTAGTGGGGGGGTCCAAACTATACAAATATTTTAGAAAACAATGTATGGAAATATATTTGGAGACAAATCTTAAAAAGAGGAAGCCAGGATCGGTGGCTTTTGTAAAATCATTCACTGATGGCTGCCTTGCTGATAAACTATCAGTCCTGTCTGCTGGAGCACTGCCACACTCATAAGTATGCGGGAGGCATTGGCTGTTTTTCCAGTTCTGTGCTGTCCTCAGATGAACCTTGCAGCTGTGCCAAGAATCCAGCACAGTTTATAGAAGGTAACCGGGTTATAAGCCAACAGTGTATTTCAGCAACAAAAATCCTTCGGCAAAGAAAGGTAAGCAGAAATATTTCAATGAACCTTTGGCAGCAGATAATTGCAACCGTTTGAGGACTAATAATTAAAGAGGTACGAAGCTAGCAAACTCAGCCCACAGGAAATAAATAGAAGGCTTTTAGGAAGCGAAATGAGGATGTCATGAAAGACAGGTCCAATAATACAGAGTGATAAAGACAGTCTCATCAAATGTGCTGTGAAAAATCGAGCAGCAGGAGGGCTGCTCTTCATTGGAAATCGAGACAAACCCTTGCAGTCTTAGTGAATGTTTTCAGCTTCCATACGTAAGAAGGAGGTCAGTGATTGTGGGCTTCAAATTCAGTTTTTTCTGCCTTGTTAAAGACCTAAACTTTTACAAAATGTGTCAGATTGGCCAGCTGAAACTTAGTGCAAACACCTAGGTTGCTAGATTTGTATCTGAATGAGCTTTACAAGAAAAATAGCTTTAAAACCCGTCTTCATGTTCTGGCAATGCTTGGAATAAAAGACTAAGCAGCTGCACAATGCCATGTAAATGCTAAATGACTTCAGTACAGCACTAGACTTCTTTTAAGGCTGTTGACAGTACGCCACCCTAACAATGCAATGGTTTTGTCAATGACGTCTTTCAAGTGCAATAAACATATCTTACTTTGAATCCTTGGAAGGAGATCATGTTTAATAAAGAATTGTTAGTTTAGTTGATAGAGAGTGAGGGTAATTAGAATTCCAGTATCAATGCTTATTATTCAGATACAGTGTATCTGAAGAAAGAAGCTATTTTATGCCCCAGGTCAATAAGAGTGGTGCTATAGTATTTATGCTATTCTCTTAATGTGTGACAATTATCTTGCTGATCTCTTATGTGAGAGGTTAAGCTATTATCTTAAGTAAACTACTGTTTGTTATCAAAGTGCTGGATCCTGTTTGTTCTTTTCCAGCCCATTAATTCAACCGATCATGTCCAAACCCAAATGCAATAGTGCCACAGTTACTATGGTAAATGTTTCTGTAGTTAATCTTTTCCACTGAATAAAAATCATTTTATTATATGTTAAAACTGAATAATTAGAACCTCTCAGTCTTTTCTGTTCAAGGCCAAAAAGCTTCAGATCTTGTATCCTGTCAGAGTAGGATATACCTTTGTGCCCCACATTGTGGTGTATCTAATCTAAAATACTAACACTGACCAGGATCCAATTGGCGCCGATCAGTGGCGACGTCTCGCGTGTAGCTCTCCCTCTCACTCTACTCTCTAATGCACTTTAGAGCACTGTGCAATTTTAATTTTTAACTATACACAGAATTTTCTTTTTATTAATTCTCCATATTGTCGAGAAGATGAAAACGGTAGTCAGCAACACCTTAATTCATTTGCTTACATAGGTTCCTCTGCTCAGTGTTTCCTATTTTACAGCTTTACAGTAGGTTAAGTAGTTTGCTTAACACTCTGCACGTCTACACTAAACATCGTCTACCCGATGTTTCCCCAGTATTGCTTTTCATCTAAATTGTTTGAATTTCCTTTGTAGCTTCTACATTGTTGGTGGCTTGTGATTACCTTACAAACAAGAATAGTGGCCCTAATACAGATCCCTGTGGGTTCAGGTTTTTTATGCATTTACCAGTTCTTAATCCAAAAATGTACATTTCATTGAATCTGCAATTGTAAAATTAGTATTTTCTGAGGAACTTTAACAATAAGCTTTTTTTTATTTATATAGCACCTTTAAAAGAAGCTACTCAAACCGCTTAACAGTAAGGAAAAAAAACAAGGAGAAGAGACAACAAAATCAGCACGATTAAAAACAAGGGTTTAGAATGCGGTAGAAGATTCAAACGGGCAGACATTGAGATCAGTTAAATAAAAGCCTGGCCTTATTAAATTATTTGCGGCACAGAGGTTCCCTAAAGGTTATCTCCCTCTACCCTGATAATTTTAAAATACTAGATTACTATACACATGCTTTAACATTTCAGTTTCACCTAATGACATCCCTGATGATGTGCTCTAATCTATGTGAGAAAAATTAAAATCTCCCATTATCTCCTTCTTCCTCTATTCACACACATTTTACTTGGACTTTACATTGGATATTCATCCATCTATTTATTTACTAACCACCTTACCAGACGGGATGTCAGTCAATTGCAGGGCACACACAAACACAAACACATACTGTATACACTCACACCAGGGCCAATTTTCCAAAAAGCCAGTTAACCCACCAGCATGTCTTTGGACTGTGGGAGGAAACTGGAGCACCCAGAGGAAACCCACAGTAACATAGGGAGAACATACAGTACAAACTCCACAACAGACAGCACCCCAGGAACTGGACTCAGGATGCAAGCCCTGCCATGCTGACCACCCTGCTACTGTGCCACCCATATTTCATTGTATAAGACTGTATTATAAAAAACCATCTGAATTTAGGAATCTGTAGCATGCTGCTGTCACTATGTCCTTTAAATGAGGTTTTTATACATCTGACCCATATAGATTCTGAGTACCAGATCTAGATTTTGTTCCTATACTTGAATACTCATGTGGATGTATAATACAACATCACCTTCTCTTGCATCTTTCCTGTTTCTTCAGAACACTTACTGTATTCACTAACGTTGAATACATCGCCAGTGCTCTCTTGTAGCCGTGTTTCAGTGATTCCAATTACATTGCAATCAATTTCAAATGCAAAAGCTTGTATTGCTTTTATTTTTTGGTTTACAAAATTCCTGAAATTCAGATATAAATGCTAAATTACCTGGTCCTTTGGTGTTTTGCTTCTACCTCGGTTGTTGTTCTTTATACCCCTTGCATATCTCCTTTGCAGATTTTCATTGCATTCTCCTCCTAACATTTTAGTTTAAATGTTATTGAATATCCCCGTAGATCGATGCCCCAAGATGACTGCTACCCATCTCATTCACATACACATTGGTATACAATATGTGCAATTTTTAGACTGTTTACAGAGCCGTTTAATTGTGTCTTCTGAATGATACCTTACAGTCTAATTTCTGACCTTTCTTAATAAACTGTATGTGAGTTTGAAGTACAGTCTTCTTTACATCTTAACATGGTTAGCCATGAAGTGTGTATTTGGTATGCCAAATACAGATGTTTAGTATACAAAGTCAAAACTGCTGAACAGCTAAGGAACGCTAGTGTTTCTTTTAGGCTGGTGAGAACTGTACATTCCTCTCTAAGGTCAGATAAGGGAATGGATGTGATGACTTTCCAGCAAATTAGTTCAGGCTAGGTTTCAGCCTTAGGCTACAAAAATAAACTATCAACATGTCCTTTTAATACTCCATGCTGCCAATTCACAGCAAATGCAGACTAACCATCACAAAAATGTACAGAAAATGTGTCTTAAGCTTGCCACGGGATCTGTTCTGTATGTTTAACTGAATACCCTTCTCTATGTCTGATTTTTTAAGGTTTGTTTTACAAGTTAAATCAGCTTTTTTAAAACACATATGATTTACACATTCAAGCACACACACATACATGTGTACAATACATACACACAATAAAATCTTTCCAGATTTCTAAGCAATCTTGTTTTTTTAAATGGTTTTGTATTCTCCATGCAAGCTTGTCATGACAGCTGCTTGTTGTCCCTTTCATCACATTTTTAAAAATAAGGCAATTCCTACTCAAAGTTCTTATTGTAATATAGACATCACTAACTAATCTTTAGGGGTTTTTTTTTTCGAAAAAGATACCCAAAAAATCAAAAGTTGATACCATAATAATATAGTTCTTTAAAGGCTAATCTTTAAAAATCACCAAAACACAATATGAGATTAGAGATATTCCTTAAGAAGGCAGATGCTGTTGTTGGAGTGGACATGAGGGTACCGTGTGATGGAGGAGCACCTGGAGCATTTAACAATTTCAGTATGATCATGGTTCAAGTTCCGTGGTTATTAAGTGCATGTGACTGCATCTTGCAATAAAATTCAAACTGTGAGGATTCAGTGCTGAAGCTGGCAAGTCAGCTTAAAAGCATTTTCATTGTGGGCATTTCCTCAGCAGATATGTGGTGGCATTATTAAGAGGGAATCTATTGAGAAACAGGTTATTTTGATTGTTCAATGTCATTGTCGTACTCTGCTTTTTTGTACACTATACTTGCCTACAAAAGTAAATTCAAGCAATGACAGACCCATCATTACGTCTTTCCTTTTTACTTCATTTTTAGGACACTTGCATACTATGTGTTATGGATAGCAAAGTGATTCCAAACCTCTTCTTCCAAAACATATATGTTTTTTGCTTATCCCTCTGATAAAACACACCAAGAATATATATGTATTTTATTAAGATCAGCTTATTTAAAATGTCTTAATCAAAAACTATGCAGAACTATTCATTTACAATGTGCATTATACTGTATGTCAGTTTCAAATTGACCAAAAATTAGTCAGTCCACAAAGCTTCACATCACCATAGCAACAATACAATAATGATTTTCAGAATGGCTTATTTGAACAACGAAAACCTTTTGCTTGTTGAACATGAAGTTTATTATCAGAGGTATTAATACAAAATATCAATTGCTTTTCTGACATAATTTCTTGTTTGAGTCCGTAAAATTAAAGTTAAAATTATTAAGAATTTTTCATTTTAAAAGATATTAAATGCAGTCAAGGATTTGTATTTTTGTGATAAAAATGGAAAGACCGAAGGATCATGTTCTCAATAAAAACAGCCGTAATTCATTCAGCTCTCTTTATGGCTTACAATTCAAAGAAGGGACTGATGTGTGGACAAATGTGTGGCTGTGTAAACTGCTAAATTCAAGAAAACAAAACTGATGTAACTATCTTGACAGAATCTGGCAGCAAATTAATGCAATGCTTAGGTAATTTGTTTTTTATGACCTTTATGTGACCATTGAACATTAATCGCTTGTAGTTGTAGGCCTATAAAACAGTTATGATTCTATTTTTTAATGTAGATATACTGTATATTTGCACTTATATAAGGCAAAGATTAGTAAGCAGTT